AATTAAACTTGTTAGTATCCGTTAAGCAGTGATTCCTTAATTAAAGGGAATCACTTGTGTTAATTGATTCTGATTGTGTTGTTTCCATGTTTGTGTTGAAACTTTAGTTATTACCTTATTCTTCACTCGTTTTCAAAACTATAAATACCCTACTTTCTCTTCTTTTAAAGACACAAGCAAATTTAAGTTCAGAACACATATTTACACTCAAAATACTCTCTCTTTCTTTACTACTACTTGTGCTATTGCTTTGTCTTGCCGGCTGAGAGCCAAGGCTAGACTGTGGAATCTTGCTTGCTTTACCTTTCTGCACTTTGCTTCTCTACTGGTATGTCCTAGTTAATTTTTTAAGTCTCAACAACAACATGCTTCTTTAAGTTGCTTCAGTTTCTCATTCTTTTCTACTTCTGCTTATGTTTCTGCAGTCAAGTTACACTACTAGCATGCTGTGATATGTTCCCTTCCCCTTTTAAGTTAATGCTTCCCTATATGTGCACTCTGCCAGTCACTTGTCGCGTACTTGCTACCTTATGAATCCCAAACCCCCATATACCCTATATGTGTTTGTGTTCCTTTGGATGGTTTGTGGCCATGCCAGTATCAGCTATTGCTGTGCATGACCAAACCAGACCCCTGCTGGGGTCATGCAATATATCCCCACAATCCCTTGCCCCTTTTAATGACTACTGATTCTGTGTAGTTTGAGTTTCACTACTACAACTGTTTTCAAATCACCCTTACCACCTACTACTTCCAACCCAGTTTTAATGAATCCTTTTCAAACTATATTCTGCACTTCCACTATACTCGTAGAATATAGGTTCTTCCCCTCTTGTGTGAGCCTTGCCTTGGGACCCTTGAGCTCCCTCTGATCTTGGACACATAAGGGCTGGCCCTTCCACACTGCACTCATTCTGTTTGGTTATGCAAATCTGGGTGTGAGCACTGCCCGAGATCCCTCGAGGTCCTTAGGGAACTCTGACACACCCAGTTTTGAGAAAGCTTTGAAACATTGGTATTGAAGTGATTAATTACATAACTTAGACAGGAAGTCAAGATCAGGCTTCCTATGGTTGTAGCTTCTTGTTTTCTTTCATTTCTTCTTTTGTAATTCAGTCACACGGTTTGTAATAACTTGTAAAGATTATGGGGTTGGCTAGTGAATAGTGCTGGGAAATATGCATGTTTTAGCTATTAAAAGGGTAGATAACATGCCTATAGGATCTGTTCTTGTTTAAAATAAATTCTGCATGCTTCACTTTCACACAATTAGAAATCATATCTATAGGACATGAATGGCTTTAATAATAGATGACATGCCTATTGGGTTAAAAATCAGCTTTACAATTAGATATCATGCCTATAGGATATAAAGTAATTGAAGCTCAATTTTTGTTACAGCATGTATCCAAACTCGTTTCCCTTAGAAATCATGCCTATAAGTCCAAAGTCAGTATTTTTTTTAGATACCATGCCTATAAGATCTAAATAGCTATAATCGAAATCATGCTTATAGAACTTAAAAACAGTTTAGTTGGAGAAGCCGTCTAGTTCATGTCGAATTGGATTAGTTAATTAATCTGCTGCTCCTTTAATAAGTTTCTCAAACACTGCCTTAATACCGTTAGAAAACATGTCTATAGGATCTCAAGTTGTCTACTTAAAATTAATCACTGCTCTACTGCATTCCTAATCCATATAGATATCATGCTCATAGGCTATCATTATTACGCCTAGGCAAGCCTCATGTAATAATAAACACTGGAACCGCCTCTGTTTAGTTATCAACTGCTACAACCAACAGGCAGGCCTGATTCAGACTTCTTATCTGAGTTATATAATGAACCTGGTTCTGACTCAAATTCCCTGCTTTAGGATTTTTAAAATTCAGACCTTAACTGTGTTTAAGTCGTGCTATTTATATGCATTATTTGCGGAGGTTTACATAAGCCTTCTAATTGCTTACATGCTTCCCCTTTAAATGCAGTCCTACGTGTTTTTTATATGTCGCCTTAGTCTTTTTACCTTTAAACCTAAAAGTCAGCCTAAAATCCTTCCTCTTATAGGAATAGTAGTCCTAAAATTCCTCCGGGACTGATAGGAATGGGACGGGTAATAGCACGCAATAGAGGTCGAGACCAATCCGCACTTTAATACCTTCACGGGGTGGGAAGGGTAGATATGGATATGATGACCGATGCGCTAATACCACGTGTAGCCCCTCTTTTGAGGAGTGATTACCGGGTATTGCATTGACGTGATCCATATTGCAAACGAACCTAGGACCTCTTTACATTCATCAGCATGCTTAGAGTTATAACTCTTTTTCAAAATCTCGCTTTTATTGTTTTTTTTAAACAAACACTTGTGTATTTAGATTTAAAGATCCCCTTATTATTTGAGCCTTATTTGATTACTTGCTAATTGCACAAATTCACAAAAACTATCTGGCCGGGAACCACACTAGTGGATCCTGAGGGGTGCCTAACACCTTTCCCTTGGGATAATTTCAATCCCTTACCCTATCTCTGGTTATCAAGCATAGTTGTAGTTGAATCCTATAGGTGCCCTAACGCACCTTAAAAATCGTTAGGTGGCGACTCTTCAAAATTGCAAAACCCCTTTTCCAAAAGAAAGATTTGTCCCAACCAAATGTCATAAACCCGATTTCGCGAGAAAAAGGGGGCGCGACAGCATGACGACTCTGCTGGGGACTTTTAGGCTTTTACCATTTCAGATTATTCTTGTGAATTTGTACCTCTCCCTATGTGCAATTATCTGTTTAATTCCTTTAAGCATTTAATTTCTTCTTGAAAAGCAAAATTGACATATGTTTCTTGTTTTCTTTCCTTTATTGCTTTAAATTATGAAACTGCTGTATTTATCGCTTTCTTAATGTACAAATACATGTCAACATGCTTTTAATTATTGCATAATCATGCTCAACATCATACTCCACTCGTGCCAAAACAAATACTATAGCAACGCTTATAATGAGTGGTTGCGCTCTTCCTATATCATTATCCCCCTAAATTCGGAAAGGCATATTTGCGGTAAAACTAGTCGATCAGCGGTGCGGTCGACAGTTCCGAGCCTTCCCCCTTGAGTTGTTCGCTCAAGGCTACCAGTCTAAAACCCCATAGAAACCTTACTCCGTTCAAATTTTGCATGCATCATGGTCAAACCTAGCCGGATCAGTTATGTTGTCCACATAATGATCCTTTAAGATAGCCTTGTCCAATAGTCCACTGACGTCGTCACGTTCTGTGCATTTATTTGGAGAACTAGATGCTTCATGCTAATCATTGATATAAAATAGTCGAGTCCGGTAGGGGAAGGGTCTAACCTTATTTGCCTTGTAGAAATATGAGGCACGAAGTCCCCAGATTCGGCATGGTCACCAACATCCACCCAAGATTGTTAAGCTGGTGGAAAGATTTACACTCTAGTGATCAAAGTCTCGTCAGAAAATATCTGGGAAATCTACCATCCCTTTTGGAGGTCCAACCTAATAACATGATCATAGAAGCTGCCACATTGTTTTGGGATTGTGAAAGGGCCGTATTTCGCTTTGGGGGCATTGAGATGACACCTTTGCTGGAGGAGATATGAGGACTGGCCGGTCTAGTATGGGAAACTCCAGGCTTGCTAATGCTTGAGAATCGCAAAGGTAGGGGCTTCCTTAGAATGATGGGTTTGAAGAAGAATCCAGAATTAACATGCCTGAAGGAATCATACATCCCTTTTGACTACTTGTATGAAAGGTACGGTCACAGCAAATCTTACCGTACCTACTCTGGCGAGTTTGCCATCACATCCTTGGGACACGTCCATCGCAGGGTTTTCGTCTTCATATTTTGCTTCTTGGGTCTGATCGTATTTCCGATGAAGAAAGGTAGAATTCATACTAGGCTGGCTATGGTAACCAAAACCCTAATGGAGGGGATTGGTGGGCAGGCATTCAGCATTGTACCCATGATTATTGCAGACATATACCGAGCCTTAGAGAAGTGTCAACGAGGAGCGAAACACTTCGAAGGATGCAATCTGCTACTTCAACTTTGGCTCATAGAGCATCTCCAAAAGGGCGAATATTGACAAGAAATTCAACGTAGGGTCTGGGGTGATCACATTGCTTTCTAACATCCAAAGCAAATGAATTACATCCCCGACATGTTCGCTCATCCTGAGGATGCTAAAGGATGGGTTGAGCTATTTGATAATCTGACCGAAGAACAGGTTCAATGGATGTTCGAATGGTTTCCGACAGAGGAGTTCATCACCCGATCTAGAGATGCACCTTTCCTGATACNACCCGCCCCGAACCCGTACGGGCTGACGTTTTTTTTGTCCAGCCCGTCCCAGCCCGCCCGATTAACACCTTTAGTCTCAACCTTGGATTGTTTTGCCATAAATATGAGTTATTATTTTGCTTCCTGACTATTTTTTGGATCCAGTGACACCGGCAAGAATGGTACTAAAAAAGAAAAATAGAATTATAACTAGGAGATTTGAGAAATGTTTAATCATTTTCATGTAGTGTTTCTTAATTAATATGCAATATTATCTATATTTATCGAGAAGGTTTAAATTTTAAGATCATTTATATATGATCCAAATAACTCAAATATTTAATATGATTAGTGTACGCGCATCCGCGCGGGTGCTAATACTAGTTGGATGAAGAAAGAAGAAAAGAAAAAAGTTAGGATTTGCAGCAGAAAGCACGGGAGTCCATGTGATAAGTAACTAAATCCTTAATTGAAGGCACTAATAATGGATTGGGATCCTTTTAAGGTGGAATGTATATATTTTGTAAACAAAACTTGTGCAGGTAAGATAATTTACTAAACACGAACATTTAAGATAGTAAAGTTTCCAATAGTGTATAAAAATAAAAAAATCCCTTTTTTGTAATCAATAATATTTACCCCAAAAAACCATAAATTTGGGTCCGTATATATATATATATATATATATATATATATATATATATATATATATAACCTTCCCGCCATCCATTAAACCCTCCCATAAACCCTAGCCTCCATTTCTCTCTATCCTTCTTCCTCCCACCCCACCACCCACCCTCCCCTAGCAATGGAACCTCAAACACAGGCGAAGAAATCAAACCTCGTACTAATCCTAGACTACGGTTCTCAATACACCCACCTCATCACCCGCCGTATCCGAAGCCTATCAATTTTCTCACTCACCATTAACGGCACCTCTTCGTTAGACTCCATAAAAGAACTCGACCCACGTGTCATTATCCTCTCAGGTGGACCACACAGCGTCCACGCTGAAGGTGCACCGTGTTTCCCGCCCGGGTTCGTCGAATACGTCGAGTCACGTGGGATTCACGTGCTTGGAATATGTTATGGGCTGCAGTTGATTGTTCAGAAAGTTGGTGGGGTTGTTAAAATTGGAGAGAAACATGAGTATGGGAGAATGGAAATTGAGGTTGGAAAGAATGTTGTTGGGGGGTTGTTTGGGAATACGGAAATTGGTGATAAACAGGTTGTTTGGATGAGCCACGGTGATGAGGCTGTGAAATTGCCAGAAGGGTTTGAGGTTGTGGCGAGGAGTAGTCAGGGTGCTGTTGCTGCTATTGAGAATCGGGAACGCAGGTTTTATGGGCTACAGTATCATCCTGAGGTATGATGTTTGTCCAGAGTTCGGGATTTTACTACAACTCATTTGATGATTTATTGGGTTTGAACTCGATTGTTTGGACTTATTTAGTGAATTATTAAACAATGTGCTTGTTTCAACTAACATTTAGACATTTTTGCGAACCTTTAATACTAGAAAATATCATCAATATACAATCTTTATACTCTATCTGTGTACTATATCACCCACTTTGTGCAAAAAGCCTGCATTGCTTGTCTTGAGGTAAGGTGCTTTAGTATGTAGGAATATTTTTTCCAGGGAAAAGTTTTAGCTTTGGAAAATTATTTGGATGGCAGAGTATGAAGATAGTTTTTTTAGTATCTTGATGATAGTTTCGAATACTAAAGGCTTCCTACAATGTCAAACAAGTAATATTGAGTGGGAAATGGATTATTATTGCTTGCTACTTAGGCCGTTTTGCAGCTAACCTTGCTGCTGGACTGTTTCTTTGAGGCGTAAGCTGGATTATATGTTCTGTAGTTCTCTTTTATTTTGTTCTTTGATGTTTCTATAAAGCATTCCGTAGGTAAAGGTATCATTTCATATCTGGTGGCCCGTCTAATCCAGATAATGTAGGTAACGGTCCTTTCTAACTCAAAAGGGCAAAATAAACTTTTGGTGTCAGATTTATTTTGTTTTGCCTCATATTAGAGCTGCGTGTTTCTTGGACATTGAAGTCTTCATTTGCTTTTTTAATTCAAGTTGACGACAAGGACTAGGTGCTAATTGTTGTACCGTAGAATTGTGACTGAGAAAATTATCGGGCTTGCCATTGCTTGTCCATAAACATTTTGGATTTATTATGAAGTCTGTGTAGTCATAGCTCTCTTGCACAGCAGTTAAACATATCCCTCATTTTATCTTTCTATCATAATTTCTAACTGCTTCTTCATGGTGCATACAACATGATAAAACTACCATATTTTTAGTTTATTTTGCTCTATGGAACACATTTGTGGAGATAAATTTAACATATATTTGATACTTCCTTACTATGCTTAATTTGGCTGCTGGACTCAACCCTCTCTGCTTGTCATTCTGGTGTGTGTCATATTTTAAGGAGCTGCATCAGTTGGAGAACTACTCAACAGAAGTGTTATAACCAAATCATGATGCTTAGATGCTGTTTTCGACCCTTCCTTAATATGCATAATTTGGCTATTAGACTCGGTCTCCCTCTCTACTTGTCGTTTTGTGTGTTTTCCCCTTTTTGAGGGGCCAAAATGCTTGGATGGGTGCTTTGCATGGATATTTTGTGATTAACATGATAGGAGCTTTGCAGTTTAGGATTGAGGCACAGTTGATTGAGTTTGATTGACCGATGCATCAGATTCACTTTATATAACTTGCTAAAGATACAGATGTTGGGACCTTCAGTTAATTTCCGGAGAATACTGAACTGGGGAAAAGATGGAATGAAGAATACTCATAAGAACGTGCCTCGACACTAGTGAACATGAAAAAATGATGGTTATTTGGTCTTCATTGGTACATTGGATAGGGCCCTCCACTTAGATCTTTCTGTTTATTATTTCTGTCATTACCATGTTCTTTGGAATATTAATTTCTTACCTGATGTGTTTCTAATTGTCTATTTCTGGAATCTTTGAATTTGTATTAGAAAATATTTCATCTGCGCTGACACATAAATGCTGTACAGGTGACGCACTCGACTGAAGGGATGAAAACATTAAGACACTTCCTGTTTGATGTATGTGGGGTTACAGCTGGCTGGAAGATGGAAGATGTTCTGGAGGAAGAAATAAAAGTTATCAAAGGCATGGTTGGACCTGAAGATCACGTGATTTGTGCTTTATCTGGTGGTGTTGATTCCACAGTTGCAGCTAAATTGGTACACAAAGCTATCGGGGACAGGCTTCACTGTGTTTTTGTTGATAATGGTCTATTAAGGCAAGTCTCTAGTCTAGCCATTTTCCTACAAGCTTTCAACTATCGCATCAAATAATAGTAACACCAACTTATTCAAACTAAAAAAAATCAGCAAATCTCCTTGTAAAAATAGGCTAGAGTTTTCCGTTAATCCATTAGCCACTTGCTTCATATCCTTGACAGCTTGAAATTGGTTTTGCACCACCTTTTTAGGTATAAGGAGAGAGAAAGGGTGATGGACCTCTTTGAGAAGCGCCTCCATTTGCCTGTTACCTGTGTCGATGCTACAGAAGAATTTCTCAGCAAACTAAAAGGCGTAACAGAACCTGAAATGAAGAGGAAAATAATTGGGAAGGAGTTCATCAACATATTTGATCTTTTTTCCCATGATGTGGAGAAAAAAGTAGGAAAAAAACCTACTTACCTAGTCCAAGGAACCTTGTATCCTGATGTAATAGAGTCTTGTCCTCCACCTGGAAGTGGAAGAACACATTCTCATACAATCAAGAGTCATCATAATGTTGGAGGTCTTCCTAAGGACATGAAGCTGAAGCTCATCGAGCCACTGAAACTTCTATTCAAGGATGAGGTTTCGTTTTGTCTTCTAAAACTTTTGCATGCATCTCTACACTATTTTTTCCTCCCATTATTGGATTATATGTTGACCTCTCTTGTACTCCACTTATCTCACAGGTTCGTGAATTGGGAAAGATTTTGGATATATCTGAGGACTTTCTTAAACGCCACCCGTTCCCTGGGCCTGGGCTCGCTGTACGAATTCCAGGTGATGTCACAGCGGGGAATTCCTTGGATATTCTTCGTCAGGTATTGAGTTCTCCAGTATTTAGTAGCAAATTTCTCAATTCATTCGGTTTTGGTTCCTTGTCTAAAGAATTTTGTTGTTTAGGTTGATGAGATCTTCATTCAATCAATCAGAGATGCTAAAATCTATGATGAAATATGGCAAGCTTTTGCTGTCTTCTTACCAGTGAAAACTGTTGGAGTACAAGGAGATCAAAGAACACATTCCCATGCTGTTGCACTTAGAGCAGTCACAAGTCAAGATGGAATGACTGCAGACTGGTACTTATTCGTTCCCACATATTTTTGGTTTTCTATAACTAGTTACTGCCCATTTTTCTATGCTCATATTTTCAATGTTTAATTATAAGTACAAGTTTTACGCTTACACATCATTGACCTACAAGTTTTGCTTTTTGTTTTTGTACTTCAATGGATATCAAGGATGAATGATGTGTTTCAAACAACACTTGTGCTTTCTCTTGGCATGCAATGCCGGCTGTTTGCCTTTAGTTAGAAAACAAGTAGAGAGCCATTTGCCCCACATTTCAGAATAAGTAAAAATCTACATTAATGACTTGGACAAAAAGAAAAAAAGTGGCTTTGACAAATCTTGTTTGTCGATGATCTCAGATCAATCAATCTTGTATTGATTAATACATACCGGTCAAACACTGCTTGTAGTCCAAATAATCTACATCATGACATATCTGAAATAGTAGTAATTGGCGAAATAAAAAGACAGACTTATACAAACAGAAGAAGCAATTCCATCTTCTACGGTCCATCAATGAAAACCTTTGTATTGTATCTTGGAACTTCTCTGCTTGTGAAAGAGTCAATAGAACACCCACTCTGTATGCTGTTATATTTATATGCTGTGCTAAATCTATTTCTTTATTTGAAATTGTAATTTCTTGATAGGTACTACTTTGATTTCAAGTTCCTTGACGACGTATCAAGAAAGATCTGCAATAGCGTTCGTGGTGTAAATCGAGTTCTTCTGGATATTACATCAAAGCCTCCATCAACAATCGAGTGGGAATAATTTGTTATAAAGAATGCTATATTTGGTGACCGAAGTAGGATTCTTTTGTGATTTTTGGTGCATAACAAAAAGGAAGAAAATCATGATAGAAATTTAGGTCCTTTTGTTATGTGGTAGAACTGGTTCTTGGGTAATTATGTGCAATGCTCTCAACAATTTTGTATGTTTATGGGTATGATGATATATCAACTTTACTCGGATCTTGGTAGTACATTTTTCTTGTCTATGTATAGTAACGTGGCCAGGCATCAAAAGCCTAGTCCACACACCTTTCTTTTTCCCTGAAAGAAACTGAAACAGATCATCAGTGTTGTTACCAGAGTTATTGATTTAGGCATTATAGTTATCAAAATATGAATCTGATTGTTAATTTAGCACACAACAACAAACCAAGTAAAATCCCACAAGTAGAGTCTGGAAGGTACGCAGACTTTATCTCTACCTCTAAGTAGATAGGCTTTCGGCTCAAGAAAGATGAAAGGAAGGGGTAACAACGAGCAAACCAATCGGAAACCGAGGCGAAAATATAAACTAACACTAAGTAATGCAATTAGAAAACCGAAACGAAAGCAACAATAACTATGGAATATGAAAATACACTACTGACACTAAGTAATGTTACAAACAAGGACAATGCTTGGCTACCTAACCCTTTATCTTTCTTCTCAACCTCCACACCTTTCCTATTCATGGTCATGTCCTTAGTAAGCTAGAGCATTGCCATATCTTGCCTAATCGCATCTTCCCAATATTTCTTCGGTCTGCCTCTACCTCTACTTAGGCCCTCCAAGGCCAACCTCTCACACAAGTTTTGTTATTTAACATGCAACATAATTTAGAGATTTATGTTAAATAACAACCCATGGCCAAATAGCCAATTGATTATCATTATCATTGATATGCTGCATATTTTCAGGTTATGAACATAATACTAATGGTTTCCTCTTTTAACAAGTTCAACTTCAATTGGAAAAGCTGTAACCATCCCTTTCCCATCCTCTTTTTGGTGTTTAACTTTTGTGGGATTTTACATGATAAAGGGAGTTTTGTGGCCCTTCTACTTTTCCACTTTGGTTCTTTTTTCAGATTTAAAGAAAAAGGAGGGACATGTAAGGCCCTCTTCACTTTTCAGGTCATCTGAAAGTAAACAAACTCTACCTTAACTCTACTACTAATTAGTATCATCTAATATGACCCTTTTCACTAAAATCATTCAATCAAGAACTTCCCGTTTACCCCAATGTGAGAGTTGCATTCTACCACTTCATTTACTATCTCCTTTTGTCTCAAATGTAACTGAAAGCGCTTAAGCATGTTTTAAACAGTAAAATGCTTTAACATGAATCTAATTGCTGCTGGATCTCAAGTCTCAATAATGTTGAATGACTTAAAGCAAATACTGTATACAACAACGACCCAGTGAGTTCCCACAAATGGGGTCTGGGGAGCGTGGGATGTACGCAGCCTTACCTCTATCCTGGAAGGGCAGAGAGAATGTTTCCGATAGACCCTCGGCAAAGCAAGTACTGTATCCTTTTCTATTTCTGAAGTGACCTTTCAAAGGGAGTGGGGAAGAGAGAAAGAACTCACTGACAGAAATCAATTGCAAGATTCAGCAACTCTACTTTCATGAACTTCTCAGAGGACCACAAACCAAGTGATGATCAAGAAACATGATACATTGGAAGAAAGTTACTCCAAATTACTACTTCTCTGTAGGCTGTCAAATCTATGCAAAATGCATTTCCAAAGTAGAAAAATATACACAAGCTCTAACTATCCTCTAAGGACATGACTAATCGGCATCGTTTTCAGATGGAGATAATTCACCAATCTTAAATGATCATCAAGATTTCCAGACTACTCTCTGAAGTACTTCTCTAATTGCTCCAACTGATACAGTTTTCAATCCATTTGACTGCAAAGGGAAAAAGATCAGAGAAGAATGAATACACATCTTTACTCGCAATTTAACCAAAAGATACAACATATTAATCTTGGAAAAGCACACACGAGAGTTAATTTTTCAGTTAGCATTCCATGACAAACCTTGGATTCAATAGCAATGGATAAAATCCCATCAATCTTGGAAGATTGAACCGTATGGCAATCCATCTGTAGATCGGTTAGTGCCTCCATAATCTTAAGTAACAAGCCCTCGCTCCAAAGACACCTCATCTTGATCGAGACTTCCTTATCGATCATATTGATGACAATGCTATCAGCTGAACTACCTTTCAGTAATTTATTACAGCTTTCAGGTTCCGTTTCATCCAAATCACATGCCTTCCTCTTTAGTGACGATCCCTTGACGTCATTGAATTTGCTAGTGCCACAATTATCAGATGTCTGCTCTGCAGTATCATTTGTTTTTTTTCCTGATCTAGCTTCCAGCTCTTGAACTCTCCTCTCAAGCTCCTTCATGTATTCTATTGTCTCGTCAAGCAGTGAAATTTTGTCAACCTGCAACCACAAAGGCAAAACACAATTCTCGATCAGTGTGCCGTCAAACAGCAGCTATCTAAACTTGAGAAGATCTACCAGTACCTTGCCACCAGTTGGCAGCATTGATGCAAGATGCATAAATCTCTCATTTATCTTTTCTCTTCGCCTTTTCTCTGAAATAACACGGCTTCTATCAATGTCATCAACCTCCGGTCTCCAAAGGCAGTTTTTTTTACGATTATGTCTGCTGAATTTATGTGTAACACCACCATGCATTCTAGGAACTTCAAGAAGTACCTTCTTCAATAGTTTTTGTGCAGTTCCTATTCTTGGCGTTTGAGCATCATTCTTCCAACCAGCAAAGCTTGACTTTTTGTTAATATTTCTAAAATGTGGTCCCAAAGTTAATTGGTCCGAGCTTTTTAAAAGGGTAGAAATGACAGCTTGATATTGAGTGTCATCTCCTTGGTGATCTAAAAGATGCAGTTTATTCTGATTGTGCTCTTGACGGTCTATTGGGCAAGGCTTAGTTTCTTTTTCTCCACTCGAAAGAGGCGACAACTTTTCATAATTTTGAGAGATGCAGTCACTGGAATTCAAAGAATTATGCACACTGTTACTCATATTATCATCCACGAACTTCCAGCTTTGAGCTTGTGAAGTTTCCCCAATAACGCCTACCACCAGTAAAGAATCTTCTGCCTCTTGATTGGCCACAAAACCGTTTGAACTATCATGCGGTGAACTGTTGTTTATTTCAACTGGATAAGCATCACTTTCAAGTACATTACGATCAAGCTTTCGGCTAACGACATTCATGTCATCTTTTGCATCGTTGGAGACATAATCTGGCCTCTTCGGAATAACAGAGTGATCAACCTCAAAGGAATTTTTTATTTGCTGAATGAGGTTGGGATCTTCTAAGACCTGTAAAAAACATGTTACAACAAGGGAATATATCATTGAAAGTAATTAGTGATATCGTGCAAAACGTCAGAAAGATTGAAGAGACAAATTGAAACTAGCTTACAAGCTCGGTGACTCCCAGCTCAATTACGCCTCCTAAACTTGGAAAGCATACGACAGTCTACAAGTAGCGAAGAGAGGAAAAGTTATTGATCAACCACATACTCTATGGAAAAGGAATGAATGACAAATAGGAGCTGATGCATACTCCTATCTGTTAGTAGAGAGTTGTTTCATGGATTTGGCAAATCTTAGGAGATAGATAACACAATCCAAAAATATTCGCGCAAGGGTAAATATTTGAATTTTTGCTTGTGCACGCTTGTGTGTGTGTGTGTGTGTGTGTGTGTGTGTGTGTGAGAGAGAGAGAGAGAGAGAGAGAGAGAGAGAGAGAGAGAGAGAGAGAGTAATACCTGGATAGATGCACTCTGGTGAGACAAAGAGGATTTGGTTAGTAACATGGAGAACAAAAAGGAAAGTGATTTAGATTTTCAGTTGAATTGATATCTAAGGGTGTGCATTATCTGGTTTTAACCGAAACAACTGACTAAACAAAATTTTCAGTTCTTTTGGTTAGATTATTGTGGCTAGTTTCAGTTTCATTTATCATGTTTTTAGTTTTTGAGGTTCGTTTTCTTTTCTAAGTTTAACAGAAATTAAAAGGAACCGATGAGATCATTCTTCTTTTTTTAATAGAAAAATATAGTTCATAAACTACAGTGGAAAAATATCAATTAATTTCTAAAAACTTGTGATAAAAGAATTATCTGATTTACTTGAATCAATTAGAAACTCAAAAAAAGCACAAAGCAAATGAACAAACAAGCTGAATTAACCCAAAATCGACCAAATGCACACCCTAAAGGATATCATCTTAGACTGAGATTGCACTTAGACCAATGCTCACGGGTTTATACTTGCCTTTGCCAGCAGAGAGCGTGAAAATACTCTACTCTCTGCTTGGTGAGCATTGCATAGCCAGATAGTTTGATTCGTCGCTGAGGTCTTCCCCGGCAACCTGTGTAATTATTTTACAGCAATTAAAATAGAAACTATTCTGCCCTGCTGTTTTAAGAAGAAGAAAGATACTGACCATTTACTTTCCTATCTACTTTTAGAACAAGCTAAAGTGAGCATTGTTAGTAAAATTTAAACCCAAAAGAGAGCAACACTCAACTTGAACATCAAGTAAGCAAATGATTTCAGGAGACAACGAGAAAGATTGTTATTTTTCATTAATTGAGGTTATGAACTGTGTGTTATCCTTGTTTATTGCAGCTAAATTATAAGTTCTGATCAATACATCAGAAAACAAATACTGGTTGCACAAGATCTGGAATGTCAGGAAATTTACCCTTGTCCAACATTGAAGATGAACGACATGCATACTAAGAAATACCACTCTGTATCAGTGAGATCTTCGGGAGATAATGCAGCCGAGGGCCTTTTGGCCTGTGGTTGTAGGTCTTCTTCACTTTCACCTGTTAAGAGTGAACTATAAAGTTCTCTCAATTGCTCAGTTCTGTGCAATCCCAGCTGATCTTCATTAACTTCCCCTGCCTGAACTGTCTTCCTAGTCTTGATATCCCCATTATAGTACCCATCACTCCATTCCAACACCCTAGAAGATAATATCCCACATATTAAGAACAATATCTTCAAAACAAATCTACAATGATACATGCTTCTAAAAGGGATATAAGGGGAAATCTTAGTAGCTCAGGTGGTTGGCTACCTGAACATTCACCTTGTTGGTGAGAGTTCGATTCCCCACCTTGTAATTCCCTTCCCTCGTTTCCCCTTGCCCTACCCAATTTCCTTTTTTTGTTTCAAAAAGGGATATATAAAAGGAATCCTTGGGGAGATAAAGTCTAGTGCACTAAGCTCCCGATATGCACAGAGTCCTGGCACATTGGATTTTTTATACGCAACCTTAGCTTGCATTTCTGCAAGAGACTGTTTCCACAGCTTAAACCCGTGAAATCCTGGTCACTTAGTGTTGTGCCAGAGGTCCCCTTCTTGGGGAGAAAAATTATCAAGAAATAGTAACAGAAGTTGAAATCAAATTGGCATATCTTATTTCCTAATAATGCAAGAACTTCAACTAGGAACCACCTATATGAACAAAGGGGATACCTTAACTACCATCATTCTTCACCTAAACCTCAAAACTGGTCCATTATTCTAAAGATTTTCTCTACAATAAACTCAAGCAAAATATGAAAAATACAAGTAAAAGCGAATGAATAGGCCTTATTACCCTGGCTGTGTAACTGGAGTTGACCAGAAGATTGCATAGCTCCATTGAATACCTCTAACAGCAAGAGCAAGTTGCTTTCTCAAGTTGTTTGGAACTCCATCTTGGTCTTGGTGTCCCATAGCCATTTTCAAGACTCTAACTTTTTAACTCCAAAATGAAAGTAAAAGAAACTCAGCTCCAAAAATACACTAAGAACAACACCAAATTGGAATACACCAAGAAAACAGAAATCTTGAACCAAATAGGATCTTAAATCTCAGGACCAAATCTATTTTGGTCCAATTTTTTAAGTACCTAACTTCATAAAACCATGGCTAAAAATTCCATTTTTTCACAAGGATAATGTTAATGACTAAGTACCCTATTAAGCTAAAAATCATATCAAGATAGTGACATGCACAACTTGGCATGTATTTACCAAACAAGACTGAAGCTACTTAATTGCAGTTCCCCCACAAATCCTTTTAAGTTATTGAAATGTACAACAAGTGGGATTTCAATGGTGGAGTAATTATGCTAAAGAATTGTACTGAAAAGGTGAAAAAAAAGGTTGAAAAAGGCAATAAAAATCAAGTCTTTAAAGTCAGAAACTGAAACACTTTGGGCCTACAGTGAAAATCAAGAAGTGATTAATCTTTTTTTTTTGTTTTCTCTGTATTTGCACCACAAAAGAGAAAACCAAAAACCATTAAATTTTGAAAACAAAAGAAGCAGAAAAAACAAAGTTGGTGGTTAGTGATGGCTCTTTGGGGAGGAAGAAAGTAAGCAAAAGACAAGTAGACAGTATTTATGTGAAAAGTGCTAAAATGACTGTGACTTGGACTATGACCAGTGGACATATTTTTCTCCTTTTTCTTAAATTTTTATTTTAAAATTAAAATAAAGAATTGAAGTTCTACATTTCTACTATAGAAAAATGTAAACTTTTCTTAAAACTTTATTAATGACCATCAATTAATTGTTACGTCTCTGATTTTCTCAAACCAAAAAAATAAAAGTAAAAAATAGAATTATCTCAGTCCCAATAATTTTAGATGTGAATTTCGGTATAGATTTTTAAGTATTTATATAATCAAATTTATATATATAAAACGCATAAAAAAATTCTAGTATAAGTCAATATCAGTAATAATTAAAAATAATTTAAGAGATTTTGAGAAAATTATAATCGAATAAATTATTAAGCTCCTCAAATAGTAACAGCTTCACTCTAATAGCTCATTTTGATACTTTTACCTTTTGTTATATTTATATTATACTAGTTTTTCCGCACGTGCGTTGCACGTGGAAGCTGAATCATGTACATATTTGTAAAACAATATTGATATCTTAAAATAAAACTTTGAGTAAATAATTGTACAAGAAAGAATAAGATATAAGTTCTCTAAATGATCAATATGGATCAACCTATGGTGGCTTGTTTGTCGAGGTCAAGATGATTGAATATAATGTTCGGACCTATGAAGATGAACAATCAAACTTTAATTAGATACATGCGATTTTTTACTTATTTTGTTTTTATAAGTTACATACATGTAATGAAGCGTATCTGATCACCTGCTATTTTTTATAAATGATATTCATAGTGTATGTTCCTTCACTACTAAAAAATCAGGTTTTAGCGACGGACAAATTCTGTAGCTAAATAGAAAGTCCGTCGCTAATCTCATTTAGCGACGGATTATCAAGAAATTCTGCTAGCTACGAGCGTTTTAGCGACAAATTAGTGACGACGTTTGTAGCTAATTCTAGTTTTTTGGTAGTGCTTTCATCCGTTTCGCTAGCTCAATTTTGACCAAGACTCTTGTAATCAAGATATAACATGCATCTACTTGACCAATAACCACCGTAGAGGCCTCCCCTTCTGAACCTTCTCCATAAGTGCAAGTAAATGTGGATCATCATACTGGTAGGATATGATATGCTCAAGCAATAACTACTGTGCAACCAACACAAGGAAGAACTGTACCCGATACTGAAACATCCACCATGAAACGACAATTAGCCACCGACTGAACCTCCAAGGTTAATGGACGCATCTCAAATGAAATTAGAAGATCCATTTTCCTGTGGACTTCCAACTTAAGGCATCTGTTATTACAAAATATGTTCCTTAAATAATCTCCCTCGTGTATATGGAGTCATGTGGCATATGATTTTCGTCAAATAGTATCAATATAATCAAAATACAAATTTGAATAAATAATTATACACGAAAGAATAAAGTATAAATTTTTGTGAGTCGTATGCTGACTTGTTCGTTGAGGATAATTGGACATCGTTTGATCTACGAAGATAAATAATTAAAATTTAATCAAATTATTAACTATTAATCATGATTAATCGTTAATTAGCATTGGTCCACCATTTTAAGTTCATTATTCATATTGAATGAAAGAAGTTTCATTTTGCAATAGAAGAAATTTATTTAATCTTAAAATCAACTACTTGAGGAAAAATGTACTAAGAAACCATGTTTCACCAAACTCATTTAATTAGTACTTATTTATGCAAATTCTATTTTTAGGAGAAATAAATTAGCAATGAAAAATATTATCAAAACTATAAAAAATATACAAAAAGTCACAATTGTATAACTATGTTCAAAGAAAACATCATGCAAAAACTTTACTGAGGTCTAGTCTCATGGATATGCAAGTATTACAAAGCGCACAATTAAAAGTACAATTGCGGCAACACTAAAATAGGAGTAATATTTTTATGCATTTGTTCTTGACAAATTATGGAAAAAAGTTGTAAAGGCTGATTTATACATGTCAAATATTAGATACACACACCGAATGAAATTGTGGGTATTGAAAAAGCTACAGATAAAGAAGTTCAAGCTAACAGAGTTTGCATAACAGATTACCTTTTTTATTAATCCGAATATTGGTTGTAAAGAGAAGTGATATATTATTGATCACTGGATGAAGTCTAATTCGAATTGTTTCAAGCATTTTCTTGCATTATTATATTATATATTATTACGGTTCCTCCATTCTAACCCAATAAAGTTCTTCGTTTCCTTATCTGTTATGCATTTTCCTTGATTCATCACTTTGATGATGTCTCTTTAGCCACCCGAACTTTTCTCTCCACATTTGTGCTTCAGTTGCTTAAAGGATATGATGCGCAAGTGAAAGCCATTTTCGTATTTTTCATGGGTGAAATTAGAGTTGTCCTTGCCTAGAAAATTATGTGGTGACAGAAATGCCTCTTCCAAAACTAAATATCGTTTCCAATCGGCGCCTTCCGAAATGGCATGTGTCACTTTTTATAATGCTATGACATCCTTGATATATTTGCCAATGGCCATCCATTTGGTGCTAAATAATGCCAACAATCACAACTCTTCATTTTGAATTTTTCAAGATTTTTTTATAAGTATGATATTTATTTGAGAAATAAATAACGTAAGTTAAAGACAGAAGTGTAAGTAATAATAATAATTATTATTGATTCTATTTAATAACTCAATAAAGGAGAAACTTTTATCCATCCCTAGATTTTGCTTCACCTACAACTACCTTATTGAGCTTTATAATTACATAATAAAAATTATCTGACAATTTACCAAGATATATACATATTATTAATCAAGATATTTGATCCAAATATTACCTTTAAACATTATGAGAGTTGGCCATATCTTTTTAGAGCCTGTAACTTTTTTATTAACTTATTTTAATTTGTATATATTTTCATTCATAACTAATTAATACCAATGATTATTTTGACATTTTTTTCCTTCACGTGAACAAATAAATGAAAAAAAATATAAGATTGTACTTATCTATCTTTCTTAATCTCCAAAGTCGACCAAGGAAAAAATTTAAACCAGAAATATAATATTATGGTTGTAATTTATGGATACTAAATTAAACAAGCATATGCAAGGGAAACAAATATAAAATGGTATTTCAACATATACCAAGTTATGTAATTTACATTCATTTAATACACACGAAAAATAGTTGATAATCCAAAACAACACAAAATTGCGGATATAAAAAATAAAGAATTCACACCCATGTATCATTTACAAACAGCGCCAAGAGATATATTTCATTAGGTAATATCCTAACATAAATGCCGTCAACAGATGCCACGACCCGAATTTCCCACCATCGGGAGTTGTGATGGTGCCTACTAGTGAAAGCTAGGCAAGCCAAACAACTGAATTTAATTACCTTGGTTCCATTTTAAATCCGTTAACAATTAAGAACCAACAGTTAATGAACGACATAATTTAATAGGCGGAAGACTAAATTTCAAGTTGTAATGATGCTACCGATATCAATCCGTACGTAACAATCTACCCAAGACTGGTGTCACAACTTCACAGACTGTCTAAGAGTACTACAAATAAAGGTCTGAAAGAAATAATACAAACTGTCTCTGAAAATACAAGAAGAAACATGATTAATAGCTAGAAGGAGACGCCAAGGCCTGCGGACGCCTGCAGGACTACCTCGGGTCGCCTGATGAACGCGAAACAACTATCTCACTGCGGTCCAAAATCTACAGCACTGGGATCTGCGCAAAAGAGTGTAGAGTGTAGTATCAGCACAACCGACTCCATGTGCTGGTAAGTGCCTAGCCTAACCCCGGCGAAGTAGTGACGAGGCTAGGACCAGACTACCAAATAAACCTGTGCAGTTAAATTATATACAGCGGAAAAATAAAGCAGAAATGTACAGTCAAGGATGGGAGGGGAAAACATGCTGCGGGAAAACAACAAACGATAACAGGAAATCAGCAGGTAAACACAAGGAACACCATAACTAAATTTTCAACGAGAATCAGAAATCAAACAAGTGCACGGCATCACCCTTCGTGCTTTTACTCTCATCCTCACCATAAAATCAATATAATCGGCACGGAATGGTACATCGTGCGGCACGGCATCACCCTTCGTGCTTCCTCACAAAATTTATACACGGCATCACCCTTCGTGCTTTAACACTCTCTCACCAAAACAATGCACGACATCACCTTTCGTGCTTTACACACTTCCTCACCCCAAACAACAATCACAAACAATAAGGGCAAGAAAATAAATGAATCACAATAAAATCCCGGCAAGGGAACAATAGCAAAGCAACAACATCCCGGCAATGGAGCAATATTAAAACCACAACGTCCCGGCAAGGGAGAAATACCATAATTCTCTTCTCTTTTTCACATTTATTTCACCACTCGATTCACAATTTGAGCCAATGCTCTACAAGGTTTAATTGCCAATTGTTCTTTCACAATTCGCTTCACAACTTGAGCCAATGCTCCTCAATGTTCAAATATTACCATTTCTTCCACAAACTTTGCCCAACAATAGAAATCATCACAAAAGGGCATAAGCAATACAAACGGAGTCATAATAATCAGAATATAAGACTCACGGGCATGCTTGACACCAACGTATAGATACTCGTCACCATGCCTATACGCCGTACTCAACAAATAACACATAGCAAATATGACACGACTCCTAATCCCTCAAGCTAAGGTTAGACCAAACACTTACCTCGATGCCTCGAAAACAATTCAAGCCTCAACTATCGCTTTACCTCTTGATTCCACCACCAATTCGCTCGTATCTAGCCACAATTTACTTAATTATATCAATAAATGCTAAATGAATCGATTCTAATGCACGAAAATAAGTTTTCTAAAGTTTTTCCCAAAAAGTCAAAAATCGACCCCGGGCCCACATGGTCAAAACCCGAGGTTCGTTCCAAAACACGATTACCCATTCACCCACAAACTCAAATATACAATTTGTTTTGAAATCGGACCTCAAATC